GAAGGAAGGAAGGTAGGTAGGTAGGTAGGTAGGTAGGTAGGTAGGTAGGTAGGTAGGTAGGTAGGTAGGTAGGTAGGTAGGTGACAGGAGGTTGAATGGTGATACCATTTTTATCTTCTATCCCAGGTCAGAGCCTTCTAATTTCCACATTTTTTTCAAAAACAATTAAAAACAAATACTTTAAGATACTCAGATACACATTATACCAGATAGGTTATGAATTGTCTTGAAGTAAATTGATTGCAACACAAATAATTTGGTTTGGTAGAGAAAAAAATAAAATGAAAAAGGAACAATTTGAACCAGATGGAATTTGAGCATCTCTATCTGCAAGCAGCAGCTGGCTGGATGACATAGTTCAGGTACCTGGTTACAGATCCAGAACTTGGGAGCTTGATTCTCCACTTTTCCTCCAGGGAGAAAAGCCAGCCTGTATGGCCTTGGGCAAGCTGCATAGTCCAAGGATGCCCAATGAAAGGAATGATCATAACATATTTCTTCTGCTTAAGTGTTCCTGGGGTAAACCAAACTTCACCTTTATATCTGGCTATGCTTGTATTCTTTTAAAGATTGATAAACAGTTATTTTTTTAAAAAAAAAAGAATAAAAAGTGTTGTGCAATAAATATTTGCCTTTGGATTTAAGTCAGTTATAAGATGGTCTAAGAATATGCCCAAACTGACAGCTATAGATCATCCCTCCTGTGTTATCTAGCCAAGGGAGAAACTGGAGAGCTGCTTTCAACTGCAGCAGCAGAGCCTGCAGACCTTAGTTGTGTATCCCATGAGAGAATGACATTTCTGTCTCAGAGAAGTGGTGCTTAAGACACCGTTCATTCTGGATACGAACAGCAGGTGCCAAAGAAGGCATGAATGCAATACAAAGGCAGTTAATAGGCAAAGAGAACCAAGAAGAAGGAGAGTATATGAGCAAACCGTGCAATGAGTATAAGCAGAGGCCTGTGAGCACATCTGGTATACTATGTTAATCATTCTAGAGCAGCTAGTGCCCATTTCCTCCATTGAAATCATAATTTCCAGGCACGCAGCTTTTAGCCATCCCAGTTTTTCATGTGAAATATAATTAAATCACATTCTTGATTTATCATTAATAATATTTCACAGGGTGTTTTTAATCTGCAGTGTCTTTCATGTTCTTTGATTCTGGTGTGGATGCTGCGTTTTGTGGTCCCAATATATACCTGGCCACAACTGCAAGGTATCTGGTATACTCCTGCAGTACTGAGGGGGTCCCTTTTGTCCTTTGCTGACCATAACATTTGTTGTATTTTTGTAGTGGGTCTGAATACTGTTTGTAGATTGTGTTTTTTCAAAAGTTTCCCCATGTGGTCCCATGTGGTGGGAATCAAAGAACATGAGAGACACTGTAGACTAAGTAGCATAGGCATCCTTCAGTCTCGAGAGACTATGGTAACATGTTCTGAATTGAGGAGTGTCCTCTCCAGAGCATGAAGCCCGGGTAAGGTAATATGGAGGATAGGCTTTTACCCAAGCAGCAAATCCCCCCTCTCCACGTTGCTGAAATGGTCCAATGGAAAGGCAAGAGCCAATACGATTGGTTCCAGCAACGTCGCAGGAGTTGGCAGAACGACACGAGCTGCCTTCGGGACTCCAGCTCCGGATTTTGCCTCGAGGTTAACTCCTGAAGCCTTTTCCATTGGTGGATATAGCCACAAGGCAGTGAAGGTTTGAAATCGGAGTTTTCCTTCTCCTAGAAGGGCTGCCTTCCATGGCTGTAGACTAAAATAACCAGAAAAATCGGCAGTAGCTGAACATGCCCTGAAACAAGCTGGACATGAAATCCTATTTCAAAACACAGAATTACTGGACAACACCAGCAATCATTAGGTTAGACTACACAGGGAAGCCACTGAAATCCACAAACACCAGCAGAGCTTCAACAAAAAAGAAGAAAGTATAAAACTCAACAAAGCCTGGCTCCCAGCACTGAAAAATACAGCCTGCAAAAGGTCAACGAAATCTACCCAGCCACAAGTACCAGTGATCATTACACACAAAAGACTAGCTAACAACAGCCATCAATCACAGTGACAATCTCCCCCCCATCACAACAATACAAAGTAGTTATCTGATATATATATATATATCTTGTTGGCTCCTCTGGATTGGGTCTCCTTCTGATGTCTTCCTTCCAACAACTTTCCTTCTGTTGTTCCTGAGTAAAATGGGGGAAGGTTCGGTCACAGTCTGCTATACCACTTGGTTGTGCTTGCTGATGCCTGTGGTATCACAAACCCACCTTCCCAATAAAGTGTTACAGAAAATGTATTCTTGAAGGCTTTCACGGCCAGGATCCAAGGGCTGCTGTAGGTTTTTTGGGCTGTCTGGCCATGTTCTTGAGGTTTTTGTTCCTAAGGTTTTGCCAGTCTCTGTGGCCGGCGCCTTCAGAGGACAGGATTCAGAACTCTGTGCTCTCTGACTCCTGTCGTCTCAAGATGCCGGCCACAGAGACTGGCAAAATGTTAAAAAGAAAAACCTCAAGAACATGGCCAGACAGCCTGGAAAACCTACAACAACCATGTTACAGAAAAGTTTGCATTTTTTAAAAAGTAAAGCAATGAAAGAATTATCAAATAAATAAACTTTCAAACAGCACAATATGTGTTTTTAAAAGACAGTCAGTTCCCCTGAAACATAGGGGAAACAGGGGAGGAAAGAAAGAAAGAAATTGAATCTGCATTCAAGCCACTGACAAATAAATGGGGAAACCATGATCAAGCTTTGGGAGAAGACAGCAGCAGCAGCAACATGACAAATCAATTTTAAAATGTACATTTCTGTGTACTCTTAGAATAGAAGCAACCATTTTCATCTGTGTCTTAAAGCACTCACACAGAGCAGTGTTTGCAACTAATACAAGAGACAGGAGAATTACCTTTTTTGGTTCATAATTTTGCAAAACATTTCAACCACCCTGCTGATGCTGGGGCACTTTTACAGTTGTAGTTCAAAAAAAGGTAATGTTTCCCATTCTTGCTAATGGTTGTTGTTTAGTCGTTAAGTTGCATCCAACTCTTCATGACTCCATGGACCAAAGCATGCCAGGCCCTCCTGTCTTCCACTGCTTCTTGGATTTTGGTCAAAATTCTTGCTAATATGGATATAATATAAGAGATCCAGATTAGATTTCTCTCTCCGTATGTACACATGTGCATACAGTATGTTAAAAACAATGCTTTGCACAGGTATGGGATGTTCTTGTTTTGATCAGACCAGCAGCTCTCTGAGAATTTAAACTGTTTGCCATGTTCCTGATCCTGCTTGAATGCCACAGTACAGTACAAGCTTCAGGATTATTAAAATGAGTTTTTTTGGCTGGTAAATGATCTCTGCACTGGACTTCCAACTCTAATACTGGGCTATATTTTAATATCCATCTCTGGCCTGGGACTTGAACATGTACATTGCCTGTAATGTCTGTGTTTTTATTTGTTTGTTCATTTTGCTTTTGGTAGGATTGGCCCAATTCTATCTGAATATTTTATAACCTTCCTTAAGCAGAGACAATCAAGCTATTATGACAGGAGAGACATGTATGTTTGGTGCACCCTCTGTTCACCCTATCTCCCCAATCCTAGTGTAATCAGTGGGAAGGCTTCTAACCTGAAAGGATTTAGCTCTCTTTTTTAGCAGCTTGCCAATTACTTGTATCCACCTCTCTCCCTTCTCCTGCTTTTTCTGTTTGTAATAGCAAGAACGCCTTGGAGAGATTTGCTTTTCACTCCGATATGTACCCAGCACCAGCAAATTAACAGTAGTCATTATAGAAGCCAAGAAGCTCAAGCGGATGAATTCACAGGGACTATCAGGTAACTGGGGGGAGGACAGCAGGACCGCACTGTGCTGAGTTAAAGAACATTCAGCAAATGCAGAGACCACTTCTCTGAGACTGCTAATACTCATATTACAGTACTTTGGGTACTAAGGCTTGGATCTATTTTGGCAGATTCACGCACATGAGATTTCAGTCTGGATTTCTCTGTTCAAACCTAACACCCAGCCACTCTGCCGTTGGCTGTTGGCAAAGTTCTCTGCCAAGGGGGTAGGCAAATCTGGTGCCTTCCAGATGTTTTGGACCATGGTTCCTGTAATTGCTTACCACTGGCCATGTTGGCTGGGGCTGATAAGAACTGTAGTCCACTATTACCTGGATGGTACCAGGTTGCCTCATCCTGCGGGAGCAATGGGGATGCGTCATGGAAATCCACTGTGGTATGTGGTATTAAGAATCTCTTGTGGAAGTCTAGTGTTTTGGGGAAATGGACTGAATTGAAATGTCTTGTAAAGAATTCATACTGTGGTTGAACTGAAACCTTAGATCACCACCATAACACTGTAGTGCCATATATATATATTCATTCATTACAAATTCCGGTTGTTCTTTCATCCATCCCAGATCCTTATGTCAAAGTGCAACTGATTCTGAACAAAAAGAAATGGAAGAGAAAGAAGACGAGTGTAAAGAAAAATACATTAAGTCCCTACTTCAATGAAGCATTTGTTTTTGAAGTGCCCTTCAGCTTGATCCAGGTGTGTTCTCTGTGTCGAATGGACATGCTTTTGTGGTAGATGTTCATTGATAGGGATTTTTTTTTATTGATATAGGCATTTTAATGGTCTCTGCAGGGGAGATTCCTCTCACTCAGATCTGCCTTAAAAGCCTAATTCAATTAATTATGAATTATGCTTCAATATCAAGCTTGGAAATTTACTTTAAACAAATGAATGCAATGAAGTACTGAAACCATCCATAACTGAGGAGCTAGGCTGATACATCAGTTATGTTCAGTTATGGATAGGTTCAGCCTGCAATTATATTCAGTTTTCTTAAAAGTAACTTCCAAAGCTTCACTTAGATAGGTAGAACTGCCTGTGCTACCGCCTATATGCTGCTCTGCCTCTATTGCATTAGCAAGACTAACATTATTTAATGCATTTCAAAGTTACACAGAAGCTTGCAGATTAAGAGTCCCATCACAATACTTTGCATTAGTACCTGCATTAATTAGGTGAATCAGGACAGGATGGGACTCTAGGTGCTTCCACGGCACCATCAGGGGCACTTCCCTTGGATCCACCCAATGGCTCCACTGCAAATGTGTAAAGGCTGACCACTCTTATGGAGAGCAGGGCCAATTGCATGGCTCCTTACCATGTAGTTCTTGTCTACCTGGGGTTTGGGTTTGTCTTTGGATGATAAGGACACGAATTACTGGTATCAACTGAAGTGTCAAGTCACTTTCCATCAGCCCTACCAAGCACAACCAGTGGGAGTGACAGTGCAACAGCATCTGGAGAACATAAGTTGTCCAGTCCTCCTATCAATATGATGATAATAACGTCTACATCTCAGACATGTTGTGGGCCGAATCTGCCAGAAAGCAGTTGCGCTACCACTTCTGTAATATCCGAAGCTGCCATCCTATAGATGGAATCTTGTAGGAGAAGAGGAGTGGTATGTGTAAGTCTTGGAGAAGTTAATTTTTGGACTATAATTCTTAAAATCCCCCCCGGCCATTCTGTTTGGGGATTTGGGAGGTTGTAGTCCAAAAATGGTAACTTTTCTAAGCCTTGGAGGGTACAGTATGCCCACTATATGAAAACATCTTTCTCATCTTCCTCTGTGCCTTTGCACTCTGTTATTCCACTAATTTGTGTCTTGATTCTAGAATGTAGACCTGGTGATTTCCATTTGGCACCATGACAAAGTGACCAAAGATGAACAGATTGGGAAGCTGTTCCTCAGCTGCCGAGCTACAGGCAACCAGCTACGTCATTGGTCTGACATGTTGGCCAATCCCCGTAGGCCTATGGCACAGTGGCACAGCCTACAGCCTGCGGAAGAGATGGATAAAACTCTGGGCCTGAAGACACGGTTCAAACTGCCATTACCCAACAGCTAAAAACCCTTGGAGAGGTGCCTCCTAGTCCTCCCCATTTAGAAGGGAACTCTTTTCTGCTCTTGAATGGAAGGTCAAGTTCAAAATGAGAACTGTTGATAATTCAAGTTGCTATGCAATGTGAGGATCAATTAGAGATGGGGCAAGAAGTAATCCAAGCAAAAGAATTAAATATCTCACTGAGTCTCAGAGGCCTTAAAGAATAGTTACCTCAGGAATTCAAATGGTCCAGGATTATATGTGTCTGCAATCTGCCATTATGGAATGAACTTGTCACACCATCTTAAGCAACAGAAGTGCACAAAATCAGAGTCAAGATGTTCTGCAAGATTGCATCTGAATGGTTAATATGATTTAGGGAAGGCAACAAATGATCCTCAGCAGAGCAACTTTCCCACCCAACCCAGACAGAAGAGAAGCATCTGGAAATAAACATAATGACAGCCGTGCTCAATGTCTTCTGTTAATATTTTAAATGAATTATCTTTGGGCTAAAAAGGCAATACAGTAATTAAGAACAATGTGCTAGTAAGATTTTTAAAAGTACAACCATTTTTCAACATTACTTCTACCAATTTTGAGTTGATTTCAGACATTTTTCAGATGGGACAAACATAGTAAAGAATGTCTATGAGAAACATAAATAACATTGTTAATCCGTTGTTCTCCAGCGATCAAAAGGAAATAGTGCCTCCAAATTTTACAGGAAAGCTTGCACCTCTTAGTCCAGTGAAGGTGCTTCTCGATGGAACATTTTTGGGGTGTATCCATAAATGATGTAGGATCTGGGCCAGTTCTACATATATAGGTTCTAGTTTAACCAGAAGACCATAAACACAGAGGCAGGGCCACAGCAATGAACTAGGAGGATCCCTTCTGCAAAATTGAATGTAAGTGTGCTCTTTTTTGTCTAGTAGTGCAACCCCTATCCACTGTGCCTCCTGGGTCAAAAGTCAGCCTGTGTAGCCTTGGACAAACTGCACAGCCCCAAGGCATCCCCAGAAATGGTAATATCTACCTAGTACTCTCTACCTAGAAAACTATGAAAATGGTCGCCATAAGTCAGAATTAACTTGACAGCACACAATTATTGTGTTTGTGTTTTCTCTTCCTTTGGCTAAGTAATATCTAAACATCATAACAATTCCTGTAAAACAGAATGAAGAACAAATCAATATTACCACTAAATATGCACTTCTTCTGAATGGTTCATGCTATTAAGCAACCCCCCAAAGTGTTACAAGGCATTCCAAAGATGTTTGGCATTAGCTTTGCCAACCATCTGGGAGGAAATTCTACACATAGCGGTGGTGGAGGCAGCCACTCAAAATACCTGTCTGGGTGCCCTTCTTTTGAGAAGGGAACGTTGATCTATTTAAGAAGCTGTGAATACAGAAGTCTGTCTTATCCCAGCTCAGACTCTTTATTTAGCTAGCTCTTTTCTGGTCTTACTGTCCATGGCCTTCCAGAGGTCTTCCACCACCCATGGCTACTGATCTTTTTAATTAGAGTTACTTCTGCAACTTTCAGAGTTCAGAAGTAACTAAATGACTACCCTTTTTTGCAATACCTGAGCCATAGCTAAGTCTTATTTCAACTGTAACTTAACCAGAGACTCCTTTACTCATTGTGTGGTTTTACCATAGTCTTATTTCAACTGTAACTTAACCAGAGATTCCTTTACTCATTGCGTGGTTTCACTATATACTGTAACTGTTTAAATTTGCATTTATAGTTACACGCTGTGCCTTCAATAACTAGGGGAGACAAATCATTGCATGGTTCAAGTCCTGGCTGATGCCATACCTCATCCTGTATTCTGGGTGATGACAAAGTGGATGAAAGGACAGCATGTTGTGTACCATCGGCTAACGCTTTGTAGCACTCGGCTTTTTCCCCCTCTGGAGAACTAAGATTATTCCAATTGATTCTGAGACACTAAGAAGAAAATAATTACTTTTTGAAATTCTAACTGTGACTGCAGTTAATTGTGGGTAGCTTAAAATGGTGACTAATTAATTTATAAAAGCAAACTGTCAAGCTGCTACCGGAAATCAAGAACACGGCAACCATAGAGCTATGGCTCCTTCTTCCAAAACTCTAAAGGTAGAGCTAGTCTTTGCCTTCTGCGCTTGTTAGCTGAGAAAGGGGTTTTCTGGCCTCAGAAGAGGGGCCTCTGCACAGCACAAGTGCAGGTCACCATACTCCTATACAGAGAAATCAGACTAAAGGAACAAAGAGGAGGAGGCAAAGAGCTGTAAAGCATGTTGGGTCTCAGCATGTCCAGGTTCTAAAGGTCAAAACCACTGCCTTAAATAAGTAGTGGGCATCATGGGCCATGGGCTACATATGGTCCCCCAAGCCAATTTTTGTACCTTGACCCTTCTTTGCAAATAGAACAAAGGTTCTAACAGTGATAGAGCTTCACCTTTAGTACATTTTGATCTGAAGTTGAGATGGGTAAATTCTTTTGAACTGCAACTCCTAGAACCCCCCCTGCCAGCATGGCCAATAGTTATTCTGATTTATAGAATTCTGGGAGTTGTGGTTCGAAATAACTCGAAGTTTCCTATCTCTGACTCAATGTTATCACTTATGAGGACTGAAATACTTTGCATTCTGGGGAGCCTTTGTAATTAAAGCCCCTTGTAATACATATGGTACGGCAAGGAAAATGGGAAAGGAATTGGTTGGGAAGCAACCAATACCTCTATACTTTGATTTTTGTTGTTGTTTAGGATCAGGAGACACTTTGTGAGGTAACGAAGGCACAAATCAGTGTACTCTATCTTCATCGAAAATCTGCTGCTTAAATTGGTGGAAACATGTCTGGACTTCATTTTATTATTGCTTTTTTAAAAAAAAAATTATCCAAACTTTCACAGCAAGCCTGTGAGGCAGGCCAGTCTGAGAGTGACCAAGCCAAGGCCATCCTGTAAGTTTCATGGCTCTGCTGGGACTTGAAATCAGATCTGCCAAGTCCCAGGGAAACACTCTAAGCACAATACAGTACTATGCCAGCTCTGTGCTAGGACTGTTACCATCAAGAGGATCAATACTGCAGCAATCTGGAGCCTTCCTACTCCTAACTCATTTGGAAGACGAACATTGCTGAGTGTGATACCACTCTGTCTTCTTAATGCTCCCGTTACCTCATTTCAGCTTCCCTAGCCAGGTTTATTGTCCACAATTCACTTTGAAAGATATCCAGCGCAGCCTCTTTCTATATATATTTGTGCCACAAATTAACAAAGAGCTTCTGTTCCTGGATCCCATGCTATGACGTGTGGCATTGTACAGAAGAGCAGTATCTTGGATACCCAAAGACAGGAGTGGGTAGCCAATCATAATCAGTTTGGTGGAGGAGTAGACTCTTCATAAATGATGGAGTTTGCTTGCCTCTTTGATTCCTTCAGGCAGCCCAGCTATAGCAGTAAGCTGGTAAGTGCCAGGAAAAATCCAGCAAAAGGCAGATGATTTGTACAAGACACTCCTCTTTCAAAAACTAGGTAAGTGTCATTCTCTGTGTTTTCCTTTTTAGCCATTCTTGTTTGGATCAATAAACTTCAAAGAATCTGTGAGATCTGCATCACTTTACTACACAAACGCTTCCTCTTTTTTAAAAATTAGATTTTGAAACATGCCAAAGGCCATTTTTATTGTCCTCAGCTTTGATCCCCAGGATTCTTATCTAAATAAAAGCACTGTTCAAGAATGCACAAGTTCAGCCCAGCCAAAAGTAAACTTTACCAAGGCCTAATGGTTTCAGCTCTGTGCAAGCGTTTACTGTCTTTTTGAAATCAGCAGGATTTAAACGCTCACGTTTTGCTGAGTTTTGCCATATTTTGTATTTCAGGCTATTACCTCCATTAAGCAAAACAGTGAACTAACTGTGCAGCTCAACTGTCAGAGTAGAATACATACAGCATCAAGTATAGAATTGAAAAATATGTTTCCCTACAATTCCAAAAGCATGTAATGTATGTAAATACAGTTTTCCGGGATCATAACTGTGCAAGTATTTGTCACAGGAAATCAGTATAACATACAGAATTCTTAAATACTGTATAGCAGAACATACTGAGCCAGTTGGCATGTTTTGTTGTGGAGTGTGATGCCATTTTATTATGCAAGAGCAGTATAATAGCCAATGAAGCCTCAATATAAATTTGGTACATTTATGTAATTTATAGGCATATACAGAGAGATGGCATTCCGTGCTTGACTAAATAAGCTCATTCATTTAGCTTTAACTTGGTTGTGGTTGTTTCAGCCATTCATCTAGTCACTCGGGGTAAAAGAAGCAGGACAATGAAATGGATTACTGCAGTTCTAGGATAAACTAAATAACCTTATTGGTTTTTTATACTTTAATTATTAAATACAGGGCTGGATTAAGACCTTCAGAGGGTCTAAGCACTGAAAAGATTATGGGGCCCTTATGAATATAATGCACAGCAGGTCCCATGGCTTGAAAAAAACCATATGCACATTATATGCATGAAAATACGGTAATTGTACAGCATGTGGGCAAAAAAGAACCACATACTGTATTTTATAGAAAATCATACAAACAATCAAATTACCAGCTTGCAGTCAAATCTTCTGATTTCATCCTTTTGATTACTTAGACAGATTTTGTCAGAATCTGTAAACCAAAAAGCTCAAACAAGAGCTTAAAACTTCTTTTGGAGTGTTTTTTAACAGTCACTGTTATTTCTTTGCTTTGCACATACAGTATAGTGCAGAGGTGGTCTAAAAGACCAGCAGCTCTTTTTATCCTTATCCAACCTCCCAAAATACAGGAGTTAAAAATAAACAAAAACCACCAATCTATGATGATAATGATTGATCGTTTCACTCAAAACCTGAGTTTTCTCACTAGACAGGTTGTTATACTTTATAAAGTTTTTACTTTCCTTTTAAGTTTTACTCAATTGCTTTAGGTAGGGAGGTGGTTTTCTTGCGACTTTTGAGGGAGGGAGGGAGGGAGCTGAGGAGGATAGACAGATAGATGTGCACCATTTGCACCATGGTGCACCATGGTGCACCATGGTCCATGGTGAATCCAGCACTGAAAAATACTCTGTGGTGCCTCCTTCCCTTATTGATGCCTGAAGCATGTGCTTATTTTGCTTGACGGTCAATTTGGGGCTGTTAAATATACAATTCAGAAACAGCTTTTGTGTCTTGCTCAGCATTTTTTCTTCTTCTTAGCACAGTGAAGAAGTGATCAAAGTGATTCACACATTGGTAAATGCCTATACAGGTTACTGCAGTCCACACTACATGGGGCTGACCTTGAGGAAGACCCAAACATTATCACTAGCATAGAATAAAATGATTACATTGCTATCTGGACCACTATCTATAATAAAACCTGCAGTTTACGTAAACTCTACTGACTGCCAATACAGTTCTGCTCAGAGTTCAAGGCGTTATTTATTTATTTATATATATACACACACCACCCATCTAGAACGTGTCTACTCTGGGTGGTTTGCATATAACATAAAAATCAACTGAGGCAAAATCCAGATTAATCACAAAGTCCAAGAAGTTGAAAGGAAAAAAGAAAAGAAAAGAGAGAGAGAGAGAGAGGGAAAGAGAGAGAGAGAGAGAGAAAGAGAGAGAGAGAGAGAGAGGCAGGCTAGGTAATGGCTGTAGGGAAGGCCTGCCTGTATAGCCATGTCTTCAAAAGAGTGATGTTTAAATCCTTAACCAATTTGGGATCTTAATTATTTAAAGAAATGCCTGCCTTGTACACATTGCCCAAATATTAAAGTAGGAACAGGGAGTTTTCCCCCCTATATTCCACTGCTGGGGGAGGGGGGATGTTATTTTGGGTAGTATGCCAGGTGGAGAAGCAAAGGCTGTTATCTTCAAGGCTGGCATCCTCTTTGTGGACTGACGGATCCTGATCTCCTGGCTTGTGGGTATTTATTTTATGACCTTCTACGACAACATATTGCTTGGACACACTTTTGCTTTTTTGAGGGGGGCACAAGAACGCCTCTTTCCACTTAATTATAACAAAACCCCACTCGCATTTGCTTTCCACCTTATGCTGGACAGACTGCATGCAACCTTTCCAGAATGAACAATCCACGGAGATGATGGCTATGAAGCGATACCGAGCCTTGCAAAGGCACCCACGTTTTGCACACATCAGAAGCGATGCATAAATGGCGAAATCATCCAAACACCGGAGGAAGAGGGGCTCCCCTGGAGGAGGGCCGCCCGCCTAGCCTCGAATACTACA